GTACTCGATGGAGGTTTTCCAGATGGACTTCATCTGATTCTCCGGAAGTAAGGATGTCATCAATACGGACACAGCAGCCTGGAAGGTCCTTAAGGACATTTTCTATAGTGCATTGGAAGATTGACACAGCACTACTCACTCCAAAAGTCAGGAGCTTGTATTGGTATAAGCTCAAATGAGTGTTAATTGTGGTGTATTTTCTGCTTTCTGGCGTAAGCTCTAGTTGATGGTATGCTTGAGAAAGGTCAATCTTAGTGAATTTTTTCCCCCAGATAATGTACTCAGTAGTTCCTCCAGAGTTGGTATGGGGTATTGTTCTAGGACTGAAAATTTGTTGATGGTGACAGAGTAGTCCCCACAAATTCTCAGGTTCCCATTTGCTTTAACAATAGGGACTGTAGGTGATGCCCACTCGGAATGCTCTACTTTCTCAATGATATCCTCTGCCACCAATTTCTCCAAGGCTTTTTCATACTTAGACCGAATTGCAAATGGTACTACTCGTGCTTTGGTAAACACAGGGCTTTCATCACTTACTCGCAATGACACTTGAATTCTTTTAAGTTTTCCCACTGAACTAGTGTCAAACAAATCAGAGTACTACTGAACTATATCCTCAGCTGGAGTTGAAATCGTACTAAAAATGTTCTAACAAGGTAATGTAAACTTGGACATCATGTCCCGCCCCAGTAGTGATGGTCCCTGAACTACACGAATTAACAAGGTACCCACCTGGTCTCCAACTTTGACATCCATTTCCTTCTCACCTAGACACTGGATAATGTCCCCAGTATAGCTTTTCAAAAGCACTGTAGGGGGTTTGAGTGTAGTTACTTGTCCTCCGGTTATGGTAAAATCCGCAGAACTCAACAATGTGACAGAACTGCCCGTATCAACTTCCATAGGGACTTCCTCGTCTTCAGTGGTAATGGTAAGTTTGTATAAGGGCGGTGTAAGTGACGAATTTTCAGAAGATTTCACACTTTTCATATAAACTGCACAAGAAGGGACTGAATTCTCGTGCTCCTCCTTGGTACATGTTCCTGATGTTGGAGCAGTTATTACTTGGTGAGTGGTGTTTTTACCATCAAATTCTTTCTTTTTCTTGAAGCATGCCTTAGCCAAATGCCCAGGCTTCCCATAGTAATTACATGTAGATTCGACAAGCCACACCGAAGACACTGCTTTCCTCCCATTTTTAACTTAGGATCTGCTTGCCTTTGGTTTTCTTGTGCAGGAAACGATTTCTTGTGAACAGCAGTTACAGGCAGAATTCCAGCACTGGAAGTGTCGGAGCTGCCCTGGAGTAACTTAGATTCCTTCTCAGCCAGTTCATCGGCCTGAGCGACCTTGAGTCTGACCTTGAGAGCTTGATCGAATGTGCTATCTCCTGAAAGTAGTTTCTTTTCAGTAGTCTGACTTCTCACTCCCCCAACAAATTGATCTCTGAGGGCTCTTGTAAGGTAAGGACCAAAATTGCAGTTCACAGCTAAGCGTTTTAGCTTGTTTGCATTTTCCGCTACGCTTTCAGTTTCACTTTGTACAGTGTGATGGAAGCGGTAGGTCTCGGTATTAAAACTTCAAGTACCTTAGGTTTGTAGTAGTCTTTCAGAATTTGTGTAAGCTAATCGTAAGTTTTATCAGCGGGTAAATCAGGAAGACAGGGATCTTTGAGCGTACTATAAGCGGCTTTACCGATCAAGGAGATTGTAACGGCGACCTTTTTCTTGTCTGCCTCTCGTTTAGCTGCTTCGCTGGCGTCAGCTGCAACTTGATCGATGTTATGTGCGATGAAGTAGGCATTCAATCGTTCACTGTAATCCGTAAAGTCAGCTCCATCGAACGGTTCCAAAGTGCCAAATTGCTGTGTAGTCATCGCTGGCACTTTAATTCTTCATCCTCGTCGCCATTTTGTAATGTACCAGGAATTTGTAGTTTGTAATGTACCAGGAAATTGTACATCGAAACACAGAGAACTCAACAATATTTAACTTCAAGTCTGTAAGAACATAGCAAGAAGCACCTACTGCGTATGTACGAGGCGCATAAGGATTCATGGGATATGACAAAACGTCTTCAGGTCACACCGCATACATCCTCGGAGACCCGGGGGCAGATTTTGGGGGCGAGGGAAAGTCTAAACGGGCGGAAAAATATGGCACGAAGAAAAGTGAAGAACGGCGAGAAGAGCCCTGGGGACAATGTCTTACCAGACCAGTTCCAAACGGTCGCCGCCGTTCTTCCTTTTGATTGGGCAGAAAAACACAAAACTTTTCTGGCACCAATCAGAAGTCAGAACGGCGGCGACCGTTTGGAACTGGTCTGGTAAGACATTGTCCCCAGGGGCTCTTCTCGCCGTTCTTTACTTTTCTTCGTGCCATATTTTTCCGCCCGTTTAGACTTTGCCTCGCCTCCACTATCTGCCCCTGGGTCTCCGAGGATGCACCGCATAATGTAGACGTCAATTTCTAGCCTGTTTTGAGAAGGAACAAATAGGCGACCTTTAAGTGTTTCCATTTATAATCCGAGAAAATGGAGAAATGACGGCTTTTTGAAAGTTATAAATTTAAAATTTTGCAATGCTAAAGTCATTCCTGTTATTTTTGATTAGTATTGTGTTCAGATAAAAGGTGTATTTTTGACTCAAGGTAATTCCTTTGTTTTGCAGTGCCCATCGCCTAGTGCGCATACTATTGCGACCTTAAAGGTGGCGGTGGCTTTCACCAGTTGCCTAAAGAGAGGTAATTATGGCTCCTTCTGTAGTCCTAGAGTGTTTAATAACGATTTTAATAATTCTACCCGGCTGTGTCTTGAAACTTACCCAAGTCGCCAAGCCAGCTCTAGCGCAAAATGATCATTTGAAACCGAAATTGTCAATTTCTTGTCGTTTTGCGATGAAACGAGAACAGCAACCTCCATTTTTAATTTGTGTTTTTTACCTCCTGTGGCTAAAACTATATATATATATATATATATTAAGGACAAAAAATCCCGGACATTAGAATAATTATGTATTTTTAGATATGAATGACTTGAATTTCCGTATTTAGAGCCACGGAGAAGCACGAGATAATGTGAAAACTTTCCACTTCTCTACCTTTTTACAACATCAGGAAATTTGAGGTTAAAATATATAGCTCAAACAAACCCGCAGGCTTAAGGTTTTTAGTAAGATTCTTATTTTTTGCTATAAGATACAAACTTTTGACGGGTTGTTTCAGCTTCAAACAGTGCAACTAGGAAAAACACTCACAATTACAAGGACACAGGGCGAAAACAAGCACGGCGACCCTATCTTTATATTGCAGTTTTGGAATGTCCTGTATATGGCTGACATTAGTATCAAGTTTGAAAAAAACCAGTCTGAGGAAAGCGCGTCATTTTCAGTGAATTAACTAGCCTGCGAACTGCAGACGTATTTCCGGTCGTCACTTCTCTCCCTCGGCAGTAATAATAGGGAGTTTAAGATACGGCGACTACGGACTACGACTACGGTTAAACATGCTACCGCGCATGATCACAACCACGTGACTGTTCGTTCCCGCGGCTACGGTGAGTTGTTGAGCTGTTTCGCGTAGTCGGGGCTACGGAGAACATTTTGCTCGTATTTTGCCGTCTCGGTAATTCAAGAATCTCGTCTTTTCGTTGAAAAAGTTTTCAATTCCCCTGCTTTAAGTGAGAGGGAAGCGAAATATGTAAGTTGTGTCTAATTTCTGCTCAGATTTACCCTTTTTTAATCCACTGTTGTGACCTCATTTTTATCTAGCTAAGCTTATATTTGAATAAGCTTAGCTGTTTATACGCAGAATTCCGATTGACGGCCGGGGAGAAGAGAAATCATGCAGGTAATTTACTTTCTCTTCGCACTTGAAAAGTATTAATGTTTGTTCGAACTGATTATTGTGTCTTTCTACTTGTGTAACGTTTGTTTATGCGTGTTTTTGTATCGCATTTGCTGAATGAAAATGATGTAAACATCTTCGAGACAATCGAAACTCAGCATTTCAATACTTCAAACTAAATCAGATCAGTAGTCGGAGAAGTCCATCTTCTAAATCTAATAAATGAGCTATTACTATTTCTGTCTATTTCTTTAATATCTGACATACGAATTCATAGGCCAAAAGAATAAAACCTGTGTAACCAAAACTTTGTTTACCAATTTCACCCGACGTAATGGCTTCCTTCAAGTATGGAAGAATTTGTTCATTGTTCTAAAGATAAGATCACATGCAAAACTGACTTGCATTTTTGTTCTGCGTGTTGTTTCCCTCTCCGCCTCTTCTCTCGTAGTCTACTGTCTGTAGTGCAATCTTAACGTTCTATATTTGCACGACTCAACCCAGTGTTACGAACAAAGGACAACGCATGTCCAGCCGTAGTTCGTAGTCCGTAGTCTCCGTATCTTAATCAAAACGTCAGTGAAAAATGGACTTCGCATCCTTTCATTTTTTTACGCCAATATTCCAAGGGGCTCAGTAACTAAAAAGAAGGGATTGGGCATAACATTTAATTCAATTGAAAGTTTCTCAATTTCCAAAGAAGACTGCAGAGAAAACAAGAAGATAAATATTTGGTGCAAAACGCTTTGATTTTATTAAGCCTCCAGTGGCTATATGCAATAAACTTTTTGATGCCCTATTTCTTCCTATATCACTATACAGTTTTGAGGTATGGGGTACTTATGATAGAACTGATGCTAAGAAATGGGGAAAAGACCTCCTTGAAAAAATTCACACACAATTTTACAAACATTTGTAAAATCGTTGGAAGTCATAAATAGCTATTGCGAAGACTTAGACCTAATTGATGTCTGGAGAATACAAAACCCTGAACAAGGACGATTTACATGGAGACAAAAGAACCCCGAAATACAATGCAGACTTGACTTTTTTCTCGTAAGTCAATGCACATCTTGCAACTCAATCAATACAGACATAGCCCCTGGTTATAAGACAGATCATTCACTGGTCACGTTCCAAATTTCGACACATAACAACATGAGAGGACGGGGCTTCTGGAAACTAAATACAGTGTACCTCATTCCTAAAGGATGAAGAATATATAAAGAAAATAATATATAGATTTAGCCACAGCTAAAAGCGAAGCTCCCATTGATATTTTTATAACTTAATCAAACAATAATTTTGTATTCCACAAATCAGGTAACTTAAGGGCACATTCATGTGACTTTTGGGGGAAAAGCTAAGTGATTTTGGAGTGAAACAAATCTTGTATCGAGTTGATATAGCTCTATATGTACACCCAAAAAATAGTCTTCGGTCACATTTAAGAGCAGTAATGGCTCTTGATCACAGTAGATAAGGCGTGGAAAACAAAGTCTTGGAAAACAAATCAGACCGAGTTTTTTCGTTCGACAAGTTTACAAATTCTTGCCAATAAATCTGGGTGCGTGCAAACCCATCTTTTATTATTTTTTATAGACCATATCTGAGGAGAAAGAGTACTATGAGGCGCTGTTTTTATCATACTGACCTCGTACAAAATACAGTTTTTCACAAACTTTCAAGACAAATTTCATTCATTCAATATTCAGGACCATCGAAGCACGCTTGGACTTTTAATTAGCGAAACCGTTCAAAACATTTCCAAAATCACCTATACGGCCATCCGGTTCTAACTTTTGACAAGCGCCAAATTTGCGAAGAAATTTTAAAAGAATTACTCTTCAACGTGACAAAGAATTTATTGAGTCTATTTTTTATTAATGGTTTTATAACGATGTGTAATCTTAAAAAGCGTTTGAGACGCTTGGCATTTTGAGTACTCCTGAAAGCGATGTTTATGAACGGCTGAAAACAAACGGCAAAGCGATGAAAATCACACTTTTGAGACTACCAACAATCAATAAAGAAATATCATTCGGTAGAACATTTACAGAGACAACAATTTTCATTCACGAAAACAAATGAGTATTTAAGTGTCTCTAAGAATCCTCAAGTCTTTACTAGTAAGCTTAAAGATTAAGTTTATGCAGAAACCCATCATGTTTTAAGCCGCCGGTTTCCCGGTGTTTGCTGTTTTCAAAGATGACTCACGACAAGAAAATCGCTCAAAGCTTTCTTTCTACAGCCAAAATTATAAGTAAATATTCTTCGGAAAGTTTTTTCTTTCTATTTACGGTGAATTAATTAATATCGACTAAAGGCTTTTTAAGATCGGTGTCTCAGTCAAATCTTAATACAAACGTGCATAAACTAGCTTCATAAACTGCGCCGCTGGACTTCATGAAATTATATTTAAATACAATAATTACTTAAGCTTACCATATTTTGAGATGCAGCTCCTGAAAGCTATCAAGTAGGTCAAGGATCGCTTGACACTTTATAATTCTCGTACACATCCAGCAAGGTGAAAAATAAAAACGATGCCATCCGAAATCGGATTATCGGCTTTGACAAGCGACGCACTTCTCAACCAAAAACCCAATAAACAAACCAGCCATGAATAAGAGAACAGTCTTGATAGCAGCTGTATTTCATTTTGTACATTCAGTGGAAAAAGACAGTTAAAAACATCACAAGTTGACTCAAAACTCTGTCAGCTTCAGCGGTCAAAGTAAACAACTTTCAAGATGCTGCATAAATTTTACGCATGAACTCACCTGTCAAATTTTAACCAATCGGAGCATAAAAATTGGACGTGGAGCGTGACCAACACGTAACCATGGTAAGAAAAGGTCTTCCCCGCCTGTCTTTTAAAAAAAACTGGCTGAATTTTTGCGTCTGAGGTCAGTTTGAAATCAAAATCGTAATAGTGCGGTGCGATACTGACATAAACACAACATATTTGATATGAATTTAAAAAAAAGTAAACGTGAACCTGCGATCATTTGAAAACGAGTAAATCTTCAGCGGATAACTTCAAAAAATACTCGACCTCAATGGGTCGACACCTGAGCCCGCGATACGGCCAGGTGATACTGGTCAGCGGATACCCTGTTTTGACAGCTGTCAATTGATGACAACATTGATGTGCAATCAGCTTTCTCCTGGGCTCCCAGAGTAGCTAGAAAGTGTGAGAGTAAACATTGGTATGCCTGTGGTGCGGACGGACGGTCGGTCGGTCGGTCGGTCGGTCGGTCACGTGATTAACAAATTTTCTGGGATGGGTAGATTTATTTACCCATGGTGCTCCGCAGGCGCGCTTCGCGCGCGGAGCTCCGCTACAATCCATTATAACTCAAACTAAAGATGAATATGCACTGGATAATACTGTCACTCCAAACTTACTGTGGGAAATGATAAAAATGAAAATTAGAGAGACATCAATTGAGTTTGGCAGAATAAATAAGAGAAAAATGGTTCAAAAACAAGATGATAAAGAAAAAACAATGAAAATCCTAGAGGAACAGACCGCCAACATTGATGCCACTGACTGCCAAAATATATGGTCAGAGTTAGAAAAGAAAAGACGGGAACTTGAAACCATAATCGAATACCAGACAAAAGGGGCTATTTAAAGGTCTAGATTGCGATGGTACAATGAGGGCGAAAAAAACACTAAATACTTTCTAAACTTAGAGAGAAGACACTGCAAACAAGGAACAATTACCCAACTGAAAGTCAATGACAAAGACTTAATCCAATCCTACAGAGAAATCGTACACGAGAGCGAGGCCTTTTATAAAAATCTGTACAGTTCAAAAGTACAAGTTAACGATTACCCGGAAGTTTTCTTTCCACCTACACGAGAAGTATTGAGTGAAGAAAGAAAACAGCATTGTGAAGGTCTTTTAAGTGTTAAAGAGTGTTTGGAAACATCAAACGGTATGGCCATGCACAGAAAACACACCTGTTATTGATGGCCTGCCATGTGAATTTTATAAAGCTTTTTGGAAAGACATAGGTGAAACATTAAGAGAGGCCCTAAACTTCTCTTACCAAACAAGAAAACTCGCTGTATCACAAAGGCGAGGAATTGTCAAGCGTATACCAAAGAAGGACGCAGATGCCAACCTGATTAAAAATTGGCGCCCATTGACACTATTAAACTGCGATTATAAGATTGCATCAAAGGTCATTGCAAATCGAATCAAAATGGTTTTACCGGAACTTATATCAGAAGATCAGTCACGCTTCATTAAAAAAAAAAAACCAGATGTATCAGTGACAATATACGCACGTTAGATAGCGCTATTAAGTATGCAGAAAACAAAGGATTACCCGGTCTAATGCTTTTCCTTGATTTTGAAAAAGCTTTTGACACGTTAGAGTGGTCATTCATAAACCAAACGTTACGGCACTTTGGGTTTGGCCCCTCACTGTTAAACTGGGTTGAACTATTTTACTGCAATACCGAAAGCTGTATTCTAAACAATGGCTGGGCAAGCAATTTCTTTGAGTTAAGTCGAGATGTTAGACAAGGCTGCCCCCTATCGCCTTATCTCTTCATACTGTCCGTAGAAATACTCGCTGAAGCTATTCGCAATAAAAAAGAAATAAAGGGTATCAAAATCCATAATACCGAAGTTAAAGTAAGTCAATATGCGGATGACATCAGTAAGAGCGTCACTGTTACTGATAGAAGCATTTGGGAACATATCTCGCGTAAGGCTGAACAATGAGAAAACAGAGGCCTTGTGGATAGGTTCTAAAAGAAACTGCAACCTAAAACTCTGTCAGGCAAAAACTCTGGAACGGGAAAAACGATAAAATTAAACGCTCGATCATGATCGATGACTATCCAGAAGGAGGACTAAAAATGATTGATATTGCCTCTTTTAACAAATCACTCAAGGCTACGTGGATTAAAAAATATGTACATTCAGGAAACCGTGGCAAATGGAAAACTTCTTTAATCTGGCGCTGGGAAAAGACGGAGGAAGTCATTTTTTCGAATTAGGAAATCTAAACAGGAAGGATATTGACAAGCTAAAGATAGAAGACGCGTTTATCAAAGAAATTGCAGAAATTTGGTCTGACAGTTTCTTCGAGAGGAAAATAGTATCAAAAGATCATTTTCTATCTCTACCTCTGTCACAAAATTCATTAATAAGAATAAATAACGCACCAGTTTTCTGCAATAATTGGCTTACCAAGGGTATGACAAAAGTCAAACATCTAATGGACGAGAACTTCTCTCAACTTTTTTTCCCTCGACCATTTTCAGAATAGGCATAACATTCGAGTAAAACCCTTAATGTTTTTCGGAATCGTCTCAGCCGTGAAATCTTTGCAACGACAAATCCCAAGAACACATCAGCAGTATGAAAGTCATTTTAATACATTTCTCAAAAGCCAAAAATCATCTAGAATTGTTTACAAGCAACTAATAGCAAATAAAAGTGAAAAACCCATATCCTGTATAGACAAATGGCATAAAGACATCCGCTCTTCAACCGACAAAAATGTTGACTGGAGAAACGTTTTTCAAGCAGCAAACACTTGAACAACGAGCTCAAAAGTAATTTATTTTAATTTGAGACCTTTTACATACCAACTAACTGCTATCTGCAAAAAATAGGAGTTAAAGAGGACGGAAAATGCACTTTTTGCCGTGACCAGAAAGAGGATTTGACGCATCTATTTTGGAAATGCCAAAAAACCAAAAACTTTTGGGATAATTTCTCGATATGGCTTCAGTCGTGCCAGATCCTCCAACCAGGCAGTTACTTAGACATGACTACTGCTTTGGGCCTAACGCCATTCTCGTCCCCAGAGCCCGTCGTTTCTTGGTCACGTGGTTGGGAAACGAGGGGAGCCACTAGTCGGTTACAAATTAAGCCGAGTGGCTCTGGGGACGAGAATGGCCTAACGCCAGACAGCTCTTCCTTTAAGCTCCATATAAACTTCTGTTGTCTTATAGCTAAGAACTTTACCTGGATATGCAAATCCAAAGAATGTTTCCCAATTCACAACAATTTCTTGTTTTATCTGAAACATATATACCAATTAGAAAATAAGACACCGAGCAATAAAAAGAATGGAAACATTTCTTTTCCTCGCTGGGTCTTGTCTCCTAACTCCAAAAACATAAATTAGTAATATTTGCACCTACCATGAGTATTTATATTACTTTCACCACAAAGAAAGCAAAAAAACAAAAACAAAAACAAACGCAACAAAAAAAATTGTAAAAGTTAATTATAGATAATACTAAGTACAGTAATATATGGAATTAGCACTGCTGTAATCTAGTTTAATATTTGCAAGTATTGTCATGCAAGTGTGTAAATCCGCTATTTGTTTGTTTGCTTATTCTGTCTTTTTTTTCTTTTTATTACTTTAGTTATTCTGTGTAATTTTTTTTCTTTTTTGTATGTGTTATACTTGCAATAAAAAAACAAAAATTTACAAACATTTTATTGGCCTAAATAATAGAGCGAAAAATATTATATCTCGTACTGAAGCAGGAAGACTATCACTTGAATCTCACATTAATATAAACGTTGTAAAATTCTGGTTACATCTTGTTTTTCTACCTGATTCTAGTATTGCAAAGCAATGCCTTTTACTTTCAAATCAACTTTTCACGAAATCATGAAGCTACGGCACTAGTATTCTTGTAGAGCCAAAATTGGTTAACTCGAAGCTGCCGAAAATCAAACAAGTTATCATAGATTACTTCAAAAAGGATCAAATGAAATTGTTGTGACCTTACAAAAAATTGAATTTCTATTCCACTTTTGAGACTGATGTCAGTAGATCTGAATATTTAGACCTTATTGAAAACGAAAAACATCGTCAGGCAGTAGCAAAGTTACGATTAAGTAATCACAAGTTAAGAATTGAAACTGATAGATACCATCTTCCTAAAATTCCTTAGAATATTAGTATATGTCGGCTTTCCTCGTCGAATAAAGTAGAGAATTAAAGTTATTCAGTTCTATTCGAATACAATTTATATAAAAATTTAAGACAACACTTTTTTCAAGACGTAGAAGCCAAGTACTCCAAATTAGTAGACTTGAAAAAATCCGAAATAGTTGTATTTCTTTCCAACAATATTGATCGAAGTAAGACGTTGATAGTATAAAAGATCAAATGCTGCGACTGCCAGGCTTCTTACATTGGTGAAACCGCAGAAACCTTAGCACGCGACTGACTGAACACAAACGAGCAACGAGGAGTGGTGACGTCAACAATCACATTGCTGAGCACCATTTACAGACGAAACATCAAATTGACTGGGACTCTGTGACGTGTATAACGAATTCTACAGACTACTATCAACGTCTTACTTTAGAAAGCTGATTTACTAACTTAGAACAAACGCCACTGAATCGTAGCCACAGTTACCAGCGTCTTACAAACGACTTATTGACGAGATCAAGCAAAACTAACTACGAGAGAACGACTGGAGAACTGACAATTTGACTGACAATAGACGACTGTTTAACTGTGACAATAGACGGATCGAAACGAACCAGGTACTGATTACGTCTTCATAGCCAATAACATCACGGCCTACAGACTACCAATAACATCGCGACGTAATTGACCAATCAGATCAACAATTAACCGGAGTATAATACCATCAACTGACGTGATACAACTCACTTTGACTCTGAACATGACTACCGCACAGGTTGTCGATATGTCAGTAACTGTCAACAACAACAGTCCTATTCAGGACTAGGTTCACCCGAACGATCAAACTCAACCTACTTTTGAAGGTTGTTACAGTTGATGTCAATATATCTGAATCACTTAGCCAAGCTGCCAAGCCTCTTATTAAGCTCAGTCAGTTCTTTCGCGTGGCGATCCACCATTTCTTTCAATAGACTGATGTTTTCTTGTATATTTTTTGGTGATTTGTCGAGTCTGGTTGCTTCATCTGTGACGTCCTTTGTTTCATCATGGTACCTGTCAGCTCTTTCTTCTTCGTTGTTTTCCAAATAGTGTTTATTCAGGTATTTCAGGATCAAATCTGTCATTGTCTCATTTCGTTTCTGTATATGGTCTGCCTAAAAATTATATGAATTAGCAGTCGGTCACTCTAATATAAATTCCTCATACTTTAAATCAATTATATAGTTGCTATTTCCAATTTCTAACGATTAGCTGTAATAAAATCTAATAACCACCATTTGTGAGTATTCTGTTAAATATAATTGAATATCTACCACTTAGCTTAGGCCAGTGTAAGGGCGATTTTCAACTTGCTACATATGGTTTGTCGGAAGAGGGGAGTTACTGAACATAATCGTATTGGAATCGTGATGAAAAAAACTGCATGCATCAAACATTGCTTGCTCTCTTGTGTGCAGTCTCATCTTTCTGCATAAAGTTAAGTCGAATATAAGAGCAAAACTGACTTGTTTTAATACATTTCAGAGCGCAGTGAGTATGCTGCACGTGCTCCTCAGATAGGTTGATTCTGAGTGTTCGTCTTTTTGGGAATCAAGCCCCCGGGCCCTCCACACCTAGGTCTTTTATCCAACCAATTAAGCTAACAATCGGTGGTAAGCATAACAATCATGAAGACACTGCAGTTAAATTCAAAGGATCCGAATAGCAAGTTGCAACCTATAAATTGGTACTGTAGACGATTCTGAGATTTCTTAAGAGCTTTCAATCACAGACTGAAAAACAGTCCAGTTTTCTCAACGTCAGTTTTTTCAAGGCGCGAATTAAGCGCAGAGATGAGATTTTTGCGCGAATTGCGCCGGCCTCAGTCGCCTGTAAGGCCCTCGCTCGGGGTTACTTGACCGCCCATGCTTTCTGTGACCTACGTTAACAGGTGCTTTTGCAGTTTATTTATCTCAGGAACGTTCCTTTGTTAGCGCTTAAAATTTCTACTGTAGACCAAGCACAGAATACTGCATTATTGCAAAAAGAAATAAAAACCAAGAAATGACCATAACTTTGTGAAAATTTACCAGACCTTTCCAAAATTTGCTAACCTTGGAAAAATCGGTAGCCTTAATTCTCGTGTTACGTTCCTTGTATAATAAGGCAAATGATCCGCTTTTCAATAGTCTTAGAAAGAGCGGCGTTGAAGCCCAAGTTCAATTTACATCAAAAGCTATGGAAAGTGCTAGGGTCATCTCACTTGCTATTCACTTAAGGGAGAAAGATTAGAATACGAAAGGCCCCGGTTCGACTCTGGGATGCGATCGTATTTCTTTTTAAGAGGACTACTCTCGATAACAGATAAAAAATTTTGAAGTGTCTTAAACATGGTAGCGACCGTTCACGAAAGGGAAGTTTGCGGTGGCGTGATGCCCAACAGAAGATACTAAGTTCAGTTTTTGTATTATTGTTCCTCGTATGAATCTAGCTGGAATGGTTGACTATTTTTTCATTTCATTAATAAATAAGCAAAACAGGTCGCGTGACATTTTTTATTTTTCATTTTTTCTTAATAATTAAAAAAAACTTCTTTTTTTCCAGTCCGGCCGCGGAAATACTTAAAAGGTAAACCAAATCAAACATTTACACATGGTTCGGTTTTAATTTTAATTGACATTCCTCCCACACACCCAATTTTTTTTTTGAATATTACAAAACGCTACCATTCAGGTGAAAGCATCAGTTCAATCCTAGTCAAGTAAACGCATCAAAATAAAGTTTCCCCAAATAAATTTTAGCGATTTTATAATTAAAAAGTATGGTTTCTAAAGAAAAACAGTTTAAACCTCACGGATGGGGTTCATAACAAAAAGTGAGCCACGCCTTAAGATGCTCGAGATATTTCACTAGATAAACTGCTTCATAGTCGAGACGAAAACTGGAGCAAATCATGTTTTGAACACAACAATGCAATCTATAGGTGCACTTACTCGATCTCCCTGCCCATTTCCCTCCTCATCTTTCTACAAAAGACAAAAAAAAAATTAAGTAATGAAACTGTAACTGGCAGTCTAGTCTTTATCCAGTAAAGGTCGTAACAACAGGTAGTGACTAAAAGAAACGTTCAAGCTAGATTTTAGCCTTAAGACGTACAAAGGTAGATACCGTGACTAAATCAGGGTAGACGCCAAGATAGAAGGGAATTTGGGTCAAAGCCGATGCTATAGGACAGTCCATCAGACAGGCCTGAAACGGTAGATGGATGGCCAGAAGTTGTCAAAAGCAAGCAATAGGAACGGGAAGTTTTGATTACATTTTGAGGTTAAAAATCAGTATAAAGTAGGGTCAACGAAATTTTCCTTTGGCCTTTACCAGGTGAGTAATTCCCCTGCGCAATAATTTTAAGAGTGGATTAATCTAGTTAGTGGACATCGATAACCGAGAGTATTTAATTTATGTAGTCCAGCTTATATAGGGTATCAATATAGAATTAAAAAATCAAACCTGGTTAAAACATGGGCATTTCTTAACTGAGATTCTCAAACACCAGCCAAAAAACTTAAACAACCCAAAAAGAGTGTAGTAGATTAGGTTTAAAGGCGCCGGTATGGTGTTTCCTTTGTCAATCCATTCCAGCCACATCCGTGCTCTTGAAAACTTCCATTCAACATCTGCATTGTCCTACATAAGGAAATGATGATATGCGAAGCATCGTGTTTTTTCCAACCTCCCCTTCCCTCTCCATATATAAGGCTTCAGTAATTCTTTTAATGACAGAAGCTTCTGCACTGAGTATCAGCTAGTTTCTAGAATTGGGGTCTGGATTTTGAGACACATTCACTAAACTCCACGTAAACACACCATTTTCCGATGACAAATCTATCTATTTCCATTGGTGTGTTAGTTAAAATAATTAGCTAGATTTTCAAATAAATGAAGAACGACCATGAGAAATCATTTCATTTGTTTATGAAATCATTTTTGTTTTAACCATATGTGGCAAGACCTCTCTTACATAAGCCATATAAGTATGTGCCGCCCAAAAGAGTATGGGTATTGCGCCATTTCGGTCTAAAAAGGGGTATACATTTTGCCCATTTTGGTCTGGAATCAGGTATAGCTTTTCAGTGAGGGAGCTACGGCAGTGTATGAACATATTTGTCGTTTCAATTACAAGTGCATAAGAAAGAAAAAGTAATATACGAATTGTAAGTGGTTTAAGAAATTTTTTATTTGGCATTCTAATCTAAGTAATGATGATATAATTTCTTAGACACCAGGTCTCTAAACGGGTGTGAAAATGACATTTTTTGATCTGAAATAGGGCCAGGATTGGGAGAACTGGGCGGCACACCCCACCAAGAATTTCCAGGAGTATCCCGGTTTCCCAGGTATGTGGGATTGAAGCTTTCCATTAAATCATATGCGGGTTTCTGCTGTGCTCTTTAATAATCCATTTTCACGATGGCGCCATTCTACTACTTCTACCAGAATCCTTCAGGGTATTGCTTTCTTGTACAAATTAAGGCTTTTGTTATTTAAACCTCAATGGGACTGAACTTTGTCTCTTCCTAAATTATGCGCACACATACACATGAATAAGAGGAAATTTGAAAGAAGCAGTTTCTTTTGCCTATTATCAAATGACCTGTATTGGCAAAACAAAACACGCATAAAAGCTAAAGAGACGTCATCGTGCAAATGGCCCATTATTTTTTGCATAGGGTTATGACATGTCTAAACAGAATTATCTTTTAGCGTTTGGGTTGAACAAAACAACTACTCTCTCACCATGATCTTCTCGAATGAGTTGTTCATCATGGCAATCAGCATGTTCAAGGCTACAATCACAGTACAGATCACATACGCCATCAAAAACAGACGACCAAAGGCAGACGTAAGACGAAAGCTGGGATCCTTGACAGCGATATCACCTTCTTCAACAAGACCCAGCAACAACCAAAACAAGGCCAATAGGGAATTGGGATGGCTGGGAATGAAAAGAAAAATGGAAACGTCAAATCCCGTTGATACGGGCATGCACTAATGGGAGGGTATCCGTATTAATGAGAGGTGTCCTTACCAAACGGCTCCTGGCCTGTTATTTATCATAATTAAACATACACGTATGTTGAAACAGAATACAGTGAAACCTTTATTAAGCGGACCCCTACGGGACCTGCCCAAGTGTCCGCTTAATAGTGGGTGTCCTTTTAATAGAGGTTTGCAAAAATTGCGCAATGTTTGTTAACGATTAACATATAACGGTTACCTTGTACTGTGATAAAGTTCCATGTTGTTAAGAAGGCGCTGGACTTTGTGCAAGACTTTTAAGTGAAATTTGATCGCGGATGACAATCATACGGTGGGATATCGGCCTACTCAGTTTATTGACAGCTAAATGTATTGATTTATCTTTATTAATCGACTACAGTACGTATTTCAAGGACGTAATCCAATAATACTATTGTCAATTCAGTCCGGTGTCCGCTTAATAGAGGTTTTAAACAACAGAAATTTGCCAAATACAATCTGTTTTAGTGTCCGCCTCCGCTTAATAGAAGTGTCCACTAAATAGGGGTTCGTTTATAAAGGGAAATATAAGACGTTAATTTCGTGACCCGGCTTAGTGTCCGCTTAATAGAGGGTGTCCGCTTAATTGGGGGTCCGCTAAATAGAGGTTTCACTGTATAAAGAAATGAAACACCGTGGATATTATCGCACCGTCAATCCCGACATTCTAAGCTTACATAAAGCCGTTATTCTGTGGACTATATGGCAGTGAAAACACTCAAAAAGTTGCTTATTAAGTCGCGTCTACCGTAGCACTGTGAATTACGACATGCTATCACCTGACGGCTATAATATACCTTTGGAAAAACTGACACATTTATGATTTGAGAAAGAACAGTGTACGTATTAATGAATTGTCTTTGAGACTCTCCGGTTTCCTTAAATACCTATACTTAATTGTAACAACAACTTCACGCCTTTTAAAAAGCTCGCTTAATAAGCGGTCAACATACACAAGGTTTAAATGTGTACATACTTGTCATATGGATGGGAGTCCTGTGGGTCGCTTGTCATGTTCTGCTTCTGTAATTCTATCTGTGAGGTGACATAGAAGGAATACACCTTCACAACGCCGGTCGCGAACGACAGATAAAGCAAGAGGTAAATAAACAGAAATCGACCCACATCTTTGAGCATCTTGTAGAGGGACAACTGCAGAGGACCCAAAACAGAGTCTATCTGGAAAATTTGGGACCAGACAAAATGAGTATAAGATATAAATTTTGCCAAGGCTAAAAGTAGCGCTCCAGTGTTAATACTTACAGGTTACTTGACATACTAAACCTTAAAATTATGCTTATAATTAATTATACAATTTGGTAACGTTCATTAAGATGTTTCGATACAGATTTTCGGGGACCATACTGATGTTTTTCAATCGTTTTAAAAGTAATTTTTGTCCTTGGCAGATCGCTACAAAATCTTCAGCAGTGACTGACTTTGAATAGAAGTTTGTTAAAATGTAGTTTTTAGTAAAATCGATATCACTATGACAACAATAAACAAAAAACTTTGAAATTGAATTATATCCGAATTTTGCGCGAAAGTGTGGTGTTAAGCCAATAAACTCCGTAAGAAGTAAAAAATTCTGTATGTTTGAATTCAAACAAAACGTAAATGTATTTCAAACCTTATATTTTCAATAGTCGTGATAAAATGTTTAATAAAAGGGTTCTAAATAACTCACATTAAACCTACCTAAGTAGCGTCAAAAGGCAGCTTAACCTCATACTTCGATGCAAGGAAAGTTTGGTGTACTTTTTTTCTTGCAATCCTGAAAACTAACCTGTTTTCACACCACCTGTCTAGGAGCAACTTTACTCTAAATTTTGATTTTTAGCGCTTTTATGAGTATCTCTAGAACGGCTCGACAGAGTTCTTTTTAATTCTCATCACATAACCTTATTCATGATGTATATAATTATTTATAAAATAACTAAGATAGTACGCGCGCTCTGATTGGCCGAGAGGAGTGTTTGCATGAGAGTATGTGAACATGGTTGTGACGTCAAGATGTTTTGCTTGTCGTGTGCTAATCACGCAAGCACAACTTTGAAAAAGTTTTTGAGTTCAAAACTCGACAAGTTTACTTTATTTACCCATTCCTTCGTGGGCTGAAACTTGGAAAATCTTTACAAACAAGCTGTGTCAATTTTTTTTTCGCTTAAGCTGACATTTTAAGTGAGAAAAATCCGTATTTTGGAAAGCATCTTTTTGTAAAACAAGAACTGATTATGCGAGGCAGACTTCGTGTACAAGATTTTGTGACTGGTAACAATTTCTCTTTTAGTCAGGGCCATAAGAGAGAGTTTTGCGTTTTTCTCGGGAAAGTTATTTTATAAAAGCAATAGAAAACTTTTTTCCTGTGTTTGCACAGCCTGAACACTCGAGCGGTTAAGAGAATTCTCGACAGTTTGGTTTGCATAACACTGTCTCGAATTCTCCCAACCCCTCTCGCGTTTATATCAGGCTATGCAAACACTGAAAACGTTTTCTATTGCTTAAGCCTGACACTTTCATTAAGATTGATTTACTGTAACACCTTGAAATTTCAAGACGAACCTTGCCTACGAATCGGCCGATAAAATCCGCGTTACTGTTTTGACGTTATGCTAATGTTTCCAAATTGATGCCCATAGATATGAAAGTAATTCTTTTTCTTGTACAAGAAACTGTTCTGACGGCTCTCTCGTCCGCTTTGTAAATGCCTCGTCACGTGAAAGCTTGGAAATTCATGCGTATACTCAATCACAGAACGATGAGCCTCTTTCTCGTGAAAATTTGTATAAAGATTGGCTTTGAGCTGTTCTTAAATATAAAGTATGAACTCAGGAAGATTTGAGAATTCCTTAGTTTGAATTTTGGTGACGTTATATGAAAGCCAACAATTATAGCTAATTTACGTGCTTTGTCATCAACATTCTCAATCCTTCCGAGATTTTATTTTTTACTTGGTAATTATACTTTGAAAACTTACATTTCTAAAGATTTACTTCGTGCACTCAAAGCATTTGCATCATGAAATATACATCCTCCAATAATTACGAAGCTCTTTTTGTTATTTACATGAAACTGCGTAGAACAACTAGCGCTTGAAAAAGGCACACAATCTAAATTTTAAATAATTTGTTTTCACAGCAACCTACCTTATTACATGTAATTTTGGCGACACCAAAATTAAGTGTCACTAAAGTTAAATCGTCGCTAAATTAGTATAGGTAATAGCTTGATTTGTAGTGCTATTTGGCATAAATACCATTCGTGATATTTCGAAATTGTTATTTAAATTGTTATTAATTTTGGAACAATTTTGAAATATCACGAGTGGTATTTATGCCAAATATCACGCACAAATCATACTATACTGTTTATACTACTACCCGCAAAAGGGTTCTAATTTTTACATGTAGGTATTTCAAATTAAACTGAAATACTGCTGCTCTAAGCCAATCAGATTGCAGAAATTTCCCATGTAGTGGTATAAAAGTGGGTACAATATGAAATTCTGCCAATTTGGTGAGTGCTGTCGTGCGGGCCTTGACACAGTCTGCTAGTGTCAGTTGAGAAAAGAAACTAAGGCAAGCGAAAAAACAAGAAACAGAACTTCAATGATAAAAAGAACGTATAATTCAAGATGGCGTTCAGATATCATTCTCGTCCCCAGAGACATTCGGCTTAATTTGTAACCGACCAGTGGCTCTGGACGCAATGGAAAATACGATTTTTTTCATTGTCTGAAGTCAATTGAATGCGCAAATAAAATTAAAAATATAATCTACTGCGCATAACATTTTACTCGTGCCCTCTCGACCTACAAACATAAGATCCGTGTCTGAGTTTCGTTGATTGCGACAATCCTGTTTTGTTTACATGCAGTAGCAGTGAAGAAGAGAATTGCAGGTAAAGTTTGAGAAGTTTCTACGAAGATAATTATAACGAGCCTTGACAAAGAAATTATTGCCTTCGTTGTGCGCTAAACTTTGCCCCTGTCTCGACCGTCACATTGATATCTCCTGGGAAACTGAAAGGAGGAGTAATGGTTAGTTAGCTCTTCCTGTTGCTCCTTGCTCGGTAAAAATGAAGCGATTGATACTGTACTTGTATGGGGTTATTAATTAGCCTAATCAGTTTTTCTAATTCCTCTGGATATTCTTCGGTGCTACAGTGGGAAAGGAAATCAAGCTCCGACTACATTACAGAAATGATATGTACGTTAAGTTTATTGCAGTGTGCTTTTGATTTATTGTATTTTCTGCTGAAAGAACATCTCCTTTGCTATACTAAGGTCAAGATATTAATATTTTGTTATATGCCTTTATTTCATTAGACCACTGATGGCAGTGCATAAAGCCAGAACTGAATTGCTTATGAATCATTTTGGGCTGCGTGGAAAAGGCAATTTTTTAATTGTGTAAAGATGATAGAGCAAGTACTCTTTCCAATTTACGTTTTCTTCCACTTAATTAATGCTTAAATCATGTTTAGATAATTCGGCTCTAAAAGGCTCTGTGGCCGACTTGTTACAAATGTTTTGCAAGAAAATATTCTCATCCTAACTGTCCTTGCTTGGCTTCCAGTCACGTAGCATTCAGGGAGAGATGAACAAGGGGCTCTGGGATTGATTATTTCTGATGAACAGCAAAGAAGGAGCTATGATTTGCACAATTTTTTTTTGATAAATAATTATGTTATATATCTGATCACTACATAAGGTAGCACAAGGCTCTCAACATTTTGGTTTAAGAGAAAACTTAACTGTTTGAAAAACAAAACCGGTCTAGATTTATTGACAATGTTATGGACAACTGAGGTGCTGATAAATAAAATAATAAATGAAGAACATCCTAAGGGAGTCTACTTTGCACCATACTGGGGCAAGTGGTTGTTGATGATAACATGTGGTTTTTGCAGTATGTCACCTTTAATAGGGTGGGTAACATAATAGCTTGAGCAATAGTAATATCAATAGTTTACTCGCTAATCCTAACCACACCTGCTCTCCACCCCTCCTTGAGCTTTGCACACAGCATTGGCTTACTGAGGCACAGGGCATCTTAGTTTACTTGGTTATTGACAAATAATGATGGGCCAAATTAAAACTTGCTTCCACTCGTCATTGATTCATTCCCGGTAAAAATTTTTCTTAGTTGGAAACCCTCATGTTATAACACAAAATAATGAATTTTATGGGAACTAAACAATTATACATTAGCAAAAGCTGTGAGGAGATATTGTATTTTAACCCTATAAAGCACCACATTCAGTTTCAATACAACTGCAGAGGGTACAGATTGGGGGTGGGGCACTACCCCCCCAAAAAGCAGTTCAGGTTGGCCCTGCAGTATGGTTCTTGCCTTGCCAAATTTTGACTAACCTATGTGATTTTCACTATCCTATTTCGGGCCTGATCCAAAATTCTATCCCCAATTTCAAACCAGGTCTTGCACTCCACTCTCAAAACATGATGAGAGAAGCTACCTAAGAAAATGCTTTCGGGTTGTGTGTTACTCAAAGTGTACTTCTTAGGAGGAGGGGGGGGGATCTCTTAAACCATAGAGTCTATATACAGTGTGTATATTAGTCTACATTTCACTGTTCCAGATAACAAAGGACGAGCTATAGAGCTTATGATAAACAGATGGTGAAAAGTAGAGCAATAAAAAATGCAGGGTTTTTTCTTGTTTTATTCTCTTTGTGCATTCCCCAATGCCTGAATGTCTGGAACAGGTTACCATAAACTACTTCTCTAAGCCTCCTACCCCCACATACAAATCCGCCAGTTATAGGCCCATTTACCAGTAAGCAATAAAAAATGCCCCCCTGGTTATAAGCCCTCCCCTAAGAAAACAAATACCCTTAAAACCCCTTCCAAAGATGTGTAACCAATGAGCTCATAAGTGGTACTTAAACAGGTTTCTCTCTGGATGCATTTGCATAATTACCATCTCTTCCTACTAAACTAGTGTCCTGGGAACACTTTTTATTAGTAACCGGTAATCAAAAGTGCATATAACTGTCTATACCCCTACAAAAGAGGTGACAAGAGGTCACCTATAGTGTGAAAGTTACAAAACCATGAATACCACAAATATTAAGGATGCTATGGCGTTGCAAAGAAAAAGCTAATATTGGGTGAGAAAACAAAACCTCAAACAGCAGTGGTAATCACTTTGTGGTTTTGAGGTTTGGTCATGCATGTCTACTGAACATTATGGTGATGGTCACTACACAATCAACATTTTTCAGGTATTAATGATTTTCTGAGTCTGACATCAAAATTATTGAAAACTCTCTCTTTGAGTTACTGATGATGATTTTTAGTTAGGAGATGATACCTGAAATCTTTAGGAGGATAAACCCTTTTAGCAGAACACCGAATGGCCCCCAGAAACACCAAATGACACAGAAGTTTTATGATTAGGGTTAGGAAACTCGGGTTCAAGTTTCAGTTAGGGTTGATATACAGAGAAAACTGAACTGGAATTTGATTCACTCAGTACTGTATAAAGTTGCCATGCATGGAAGCCCATGGAGGTGTATTAGACTGTCACTTCTCCTGGACAAACCTTGTCATATATGTTTTTTACCCTGGGTCGGTAAAATGATTAATATTGATTTGTTTCGACGTAAATCCTTCGGTTGTCTAACACGTGTTGTACGCTAAAGCTCATGGGCAAAATTAAAACCACGACATGCGACACCACAAAAGGAAATAAACATAGGAAAAAACACAACCAGCTCGATCGAGTGAAATGAAATATATATTTTACTCTCCTAACACAACACATGAATGGTTTCGTTTCAAAAAGTGTTCATAAGTAAGATAGCAGTTGCAGGACATGGAACAAGATACCTTTTTAGATTGACTTTTTCCTGCATTATATCGATCTTCGCGATATTACTTTCCCAGTGTTTGTTCGCCAAACGTATTGAAAAAAAAAACTCATATAACTCAGACGATAGTCTGCCGGTTAATTGTCTCAGTTCTGCAAACCAACAGTGTGTTCAGCCGGTTTCTGTGACCGTCTTCTTCTTTTAACTCCAAATTATCGGTGAATCCAAGTTGAGTGAAGTGGTGCATTTTCAAAACATCCCAAAGAAGCCGCTATCTGGAAAGAGCTCAGGAAGTAAAATTTTCCCCCAGTGGAGCGGTGAGGGATAAAAATCCGTTATGAACATGAGCAGTGATATTTGCAACTTTTGCACATGTGCGACCGGATGTCAGAAACTTTCTGGCATCCGGTAACGGCTGCTTCCAGAGCCCCTCGTTTCCCGACCACGTGACCAAGAAACGACACGCTCTGGGGACGAGAATGTTCAGATACAGTCTCTACCATATGACTTGCGCGCGCATACATTTACGACATGACCGCACGGCAACCTTAAAGTTACAACAATAATGCTGTTCAAAATTCAAGGTCAGTCTATACGACAGTCAGTTTCACACACAATATGCTATTTGACGGTTGACTATGACGTGTATCGGATGTCTCGTGCACAATACGAGTGAGGACAGCATTGAGTTTCGTTTGTTTCGTCCAAAATTAAGATACAGAACGTTGTATTATTTTGATTTAATGAAGCTAATGACGTTTATTATTTTGACCATGGGCGGCTCCCGTTTTATCACATAAATGTTCCATTGTCGTCTTAAAAGTTTTGAATACCTTAATTCGCCGAAGTCTCAGTTCGTGAAATCGTTAAAATTGAATGACTTAGGGTATTTCGATACAGTTTTTCAGAGGCCATACCGATACTTTTCAATCGATTTAAAAGTAATTTTATCCATGTCTGATCGCTATAAATTTTCACCAATGATTGACTATCGATTGAAATCTGTCAAAATGTGGGTTTTAGTAAGATCGATATTATTACGACAACAATAAACAAAAAACTATGAAACTGATAAACGCCTAGTTTTGCGCGATTTAGACCAGATCTAGACAGTTCAGTGTGAGTATTGTCAATGTTTTAGATTCAAAAGATGCGATAAATTCAAACTAAAATGTACTAGTCATGGAGGTATGTATAGTGCGCATTATTTTGGGAAAATTAGCATAACGTCAAAACAGTGAATGTTGTAACGCAGAATTTTGACCGGGAAGTAGAATAGGTTTGTCTTGAAATTTCAAGGTGTTGCAGTGAATCAATCTTAATGAAAGTTTCAGACCTTATTATATACATTATGAAGATTATGTGAAGAGATTTTATAAAAATTGGCTCGAGTCGTTTCAGAGATATACAAAAAAGCGCTAAAAGTCCAAATTTTGAATGAAGTTGCACTTAGACAGGTGGTGAGAAAATGAATTAGTTTTCAAGATCGCAAGAACGAAAATACATCAAAATTTTCTAGCATCAAAATATGATATTAGGCAACATTCTGACGCAACTTAAGAATAATTTGAGTCATTTATAACGTTTTCATTAAATAATCTATCAAGGCTTTTGAAAATTTAAGGTTTGAAATATATTTTCGTTTTAGTCGATTTCAAACATAAAGAATTTTTTACTTCTCTCGGAGATTATTAGTCTGCTACACAACCGTTTTTAGTGTGTCGTCACGCAACTCTCCTCCACACTAACGGCTGCTGAAAATTGAACCACATTCCTTTCCCGCGATTAGCCAATTAGAATTCAGCTCCCATTTTCTGGAAGGTGTTCGCGCCACGTTTGCGGTATGGTGACTCCTCCAATCACAGTTTTGCTTTTATCGGTGCACCATGTTTGAATAACAGAACAATATAAAATCATCGCGTGAAAACAAGCAATCAACGGGCTCGGAGCTTTGACGGGTTAACTTTTTTACACAAGGAATGATACAGATCAGGCAGAGAAAAGTTTCAGTACGAGTAAACTTTGTCTCTCATCAGTAATTACGTACATAATTAGACCATTACCGCTTAAAACATTGGCTATCAACTTAATATGCTACATGCTAGGATTTGTCAGCAGATAACATCGCTTTTATGGTCTTTTCTTGGATTTAAAGGGCTATGTCATGCTACTTGCTATCTTCTTAAAAAGCCAATTGTATTCCAAAAGTAATGGTCCAGGTTTTTCATTCAAGACTATATTTAGGTACTGAAACTATTTCATGTCGTCTGTATCAACGGATGGCAAGGATGGACATGGATTTAAACTTGAAAAAGTTGGCCATTTTTTTCAAGGTTTAATGCTATATCTGCAAAATCACCAAAAAATATTTTGGTTAGTGCTCGTTGATGACATTTGTTTGAAATCTACTACATAGCTCTACGGGAGCATTTTTTATAAGGGTAGAGCGCTAAGTAATGACTTCAGCACAGAACTTGACCCAAAACAGCAAAATGTTCGCAACAATTAGCCTCTTTCAATTTGTTAACTTACCTGGAAAATGTGCGTTAAGTGAAAGAAGGCCACCACCGTGGCACTTGCATACAACACATCGGCTATTACAAAAACTTCTTTCCGTGGATCCCATTTTCCAAAACGCCCCCAAGAGATCAACCACATTATATAACTCACAAGAAAGGTAAAGATGATAATCATGTCCACAATATTCCACCATTTTGACATATAAACATAGGATCCCTGTCTTTTTGCCTCTAAGAATTCCTGCATCAGAAAACCCAAGGCAAAGAAAAATGTCACGTAATCTGAAAAGAAACGAGAAATTCATAATGACTGATCGGGATTAGTTTGATTCATGTAAATTCTAAGCTTTTTCCGCTGAATAGGCAGGTTTGGTAGGGAACATACAGTGGACTAAGTGTAGTGTCTTTACGTATTTAACCAAGAATTGATTCAGATTTAACCACTAACACACACCATTGCTAACCGTGCACACATGTGTATTCTAATCATCATACCAGTCACAGCGCATGCTCGATTATACAAACATGGGGGGTGGGGACGGTAGACCTAAATATTTACATATCCTACATTCTTAACTGTTCAAAGAAGATGATATCTTTAAAGAGGCTGTTTCACGGCCGTCATGTTCATTTTTTTTTTTTTTCAGTATTGCCAGTTAGGCGTCCTTAGTTTCTATGGAACTCAGTGTTAGTGCAGAAACTACTCCTAAATATGAAAAACACAGCTTCGTACAAACAAATGTACGTAAATGCGTCTCCCAAGCCTTTTATACAACATCAAGAGAGAACGAGCTAAGAGAGCGAGTTCCAGTGCCCCATAATAATTATTTGACATCTGTTTGAAGTTCGCGCTTGCGATGTCAAGGTTATTTTTGTTTGTTGTTTCCGTAACCCGCGTGGTCTCCTTTCTGACGTGAACGTGACATGTTTCGCCTCCAAACATTTGAAGTTTAACTGCCGTTATAGTAATTAGCACGCTAAAGGTTTAAGTTGTTGACATGTTTTTTGATCAACTCGTTCCCCTCATAATTGAAGAATAAATTTCCTTTAAGACGGATTACAGCATTGGAGTCAAAATTTCACTTTTAGATTAAAGATCGAGATTTTCTTACTGCTGATAGCCTCATTTAAACTAACGGATATTTAATACTGACACACCGTGAAAGCCAAAGGCAAAAGTTATCGCGCGCGAAATACGAAACCTTAAATAAGCGGCTGGCTTCAATTGTTTATACAAATGTGCGAGGTATTTTTTTTCTTTTTCCAGGAATTTTTCTCGTTCGGAAACAGCGCATTTGCTTTTTTCTTGAGAGTTTCAAACTCAATTTCCTCTTCTTAACGTCTAATACTTGCGATGAATATTTCGTTGTGCGAACACAAATCAGGTTGGATGCCTTAGACTTTTGATGCGCGGTTTCCAGTTTCGGTCAATTCTTTATAGCGAGCGGTGTGCGCACGAACCACGAAAGGGGGCAAAGTCCAACAATTTCAGGTGCCAGCTGTGTGACTGTGCATCTCATGCAGATTGGTTTTTCACAATAATAATAGTGACTTGAACATATGAAGACCTGTTTCGTTTTGTAACCAATGCCTTAAAAAAGGCTCTTGTCTTTTAAGAAGTAATAGCTTTTAAAACATGGAGAAATAGGTTATCGGACTTAAAGACTGTTTCACCGAGTAGAATTGCACGTGAAAACCTCGTGAATTAT